GGCCCAATCAAAAGGCCCAAAGGTCAATTTGTGAATCAAGGCCCAACATATGGCCCAATTTTCCAAATTGGGCCCAAACCTCTACATGGTCTCACGCTAAGGCCCAACCATTTATTCCAGTCCAACCTTTGACATTCAATTGGCCCAATATCATATAATCATTAAGGCCCAAAACTATGGCCCATTTATGGCCTAATTTTCCAAATTGGGCCCAACTCCTCATATGGGCCTTACCCTAAAGCCCAACAACATATTCTAGTCCATATGATTATTCTTAGATGACCCATTAATAATCCCATCAGCAAAGCCCAATGGAAAGGCCCAACTCAAGGCCCAAGTGAAATTAGGGTTTCACATAAAATGATGATTAGGGTTAAGTTTTCCTACTTAACCCATTAAGGACTTAATCCATTAACTCCAATATTGACTTAGGCTGATTGCAAATGATTATTAATTAATATATTAAATTCATTAAATAGTCCCAATGTGGTCCCGATAAATCCCAAATTAGGGTTTCATTGCATTAGGGTTTTCCAAACCCTAATTAGGGTCTCCAACCCATCTTAGCCCAATGGCCCAAAATCAAGTCCTTAAGCCCATTAGGGTTTCCTTAGGTCAATTAGGGTTTTGCTAGGCCCATTAGGGTTTCACTAATCGGGCACCACCCACTACCACCTCGGGTAGTGGTGGTCAATGGTGGCTCACGGCGGCGGCCACCACCTCACGGTGGTGGTTCGGTTTTCTAGTCCAATCGAGTCGAAGCATCCCAAACGACATCCAAACACAAATAAGCACACCGCTACCCAACGCGGCGGCTGGTGGCGGCAGCTACCACCCTACGGTGGTGGTTTGGGATTTCCTTTCATTATTCCGACATGATTACAGTTTACAACACAAAATCCAAAAATAAACACACACACTAACTAACATAAACACACACAAGTGGTGGCAGATGGTGGCAGCCACCACCTTACGGTGGTGGTGGTGGCTGTTCTTGCAGTTTCCGGCCAAACACACACGCCCACAAACTGAAACACGCACACCTTCACATATTTTGCTCGGAAAGAGAAGCCAACCACCCACATGGTGGCGTGTGGCGGCGGCAACACCACGGGAAGGCAGCAGTAGCGGCGGCCACCATGGCTGGTGGCCATGGTGGTCCTTTTCCTCGACTCCCGGCCATCAACCCTCGTACCAAACATCTTGGGTTCAACAACAACACCCACCCACGCCTGACATGAGACCACCGCTCCCATCCACCGATTAGGCGGCTAGTGACGCTGGAACGAGCTGAGGTGGCGACCAAAATCCATCGCCGGCGGCAACGACGGTCCTGACGTCAAACCCACAAGGAGGAATGAAGAATAAGATGTTGTCGGCATACCGAGGGTCTTCTGGTCGCTCATGGCTCGCACGACGTCGTCCTTAGCTCCAATCTCCGGTCTTTAGCGCACCTCTCGGTTGTTCACGACGTTGCCGGCAGCGGGTGACGTTCCGATGGCGAGTAGCGACGGCAGCAGGCTCGGTCTTGCAGTGGCGGCTGGGGAGTTCCTTGAGGGGTGGCGGCTGTAGATGCTCCCTTCAGTTTAGGGTTTGTGTCCATCAACGATGGGGAAGGGGTCACCGGGTATATCCCGTGTCCTCATACAACTTTGATACACTTTTCCAAGATCGGCCCCTCCTCACAGATTTTGTTTTCAATTTAAGTCCAAATTTTACCCTTTGGCCCTTGCTTCCATATATTCATTTCAAATCCGATCCCTAATTTACCATACATCCCCTAAGCCTCCAAAATCTCTTCAAATGAAGTCCCAGAAGTTACCATTTAGTCCATGCCTTCAATAATACTTACAAATTAAGTCCGGATTTTACACTTTTAACCCCCAATCTCTTAAAGTGTGACTAGCTCTTCGAGTCCAACCTTTGATATATAATTATTTATTTTAGGGCTACTATTCGTTCATTAATTTTTATCTATTTAATTGTTTAATAAACAGGGTGTTATACAGAGTGGGCGTCTTTGAAGACACGTGATGTTGAGGTGGCACGACGGAAGACGCGTGAACACCGCCCCAAGGGCCGGTGTTTTGGGTGTGACGTGACTCAGAAGACGGAAGGAGACGACGAATGGGAGACGAGTAAATTGCCAACAGTCATTTTGACCATTTTGTTGCTGTAGCCGTTGCACATTAAAAAAAATTCATTGTTGTAGGTATTTAAATGGAGGAACACGATGGAGAGGTCGTTTAATCAGGAAGAAGGAGACACATCTTTCAATAATTGTCAATTATAGTCCCTTGAGTTTGGGTCAAAAGCAGAACAAACCTCTTCTTTAATTTCTTCCTCAAAACTGGTTTATAAAATGTACAAATTCCACCCTAGACTTTTATATTATTGTTAGGTGTGTCAGACCCAACAAATAATAGGGGTACGATATACTCCAAAATAATCCCACTATATTGCACTAAAAAGGTAGTACAAGGCAAGTAGGGTCGATCCACAGAGACACGAGACAATCAGTCTATACCTGTTTTGCGTAAGGTATTCGTTCACAAAAGATTAAGAGGGGGGTTTTGAATGCAATGATTAATCAAACGAATTTAAAACACGAGTAAACAACTAAACGAATGAATTAAGTTCAGATTTTTGTAAGGACTCCAACTTCATGTATGACAATCCAGCAATGTGAATCAAAGATGACAAGACATTTGTTTCATTCTATCTAAGTTGGTACTTGAAAGTGTTAACAAGCTCTAACACTTTCCATTCACCACATTAATCAATCAAAACAAGCTCTTTGATTAATCCTAACCTTGCTAACCTAATCTAATCAAGCTCTTAGAATTAGATTAAAAGATTGCATTAAGCTTATTGTGAATGTTCCCAACAACACCCAATACTCCTCACAAGCTCGGGAGCGTAAGAATGTGTGAAAAGACTTGCATTAAATTCATTCATAAGAAATCAATTTAATGCTTGTTACTTAGTTCAATTCACAAAACAATTACGGATTTTGCAAAATGAATAACTTGAATGACCTAACCCTAATTCAAATGGCCAATAAGAATCATTATTAGAATCAAACATTCGATTGAAATAAAATCAGTTTCACTATATAGAAATTAAACACAACATCAGGTCATATGATTTGATTCACAACCAAAAAGTCAAAACATGAAATTGGAGAAGTTAAGGTTCTAGCCACACATGGCTAGAACAAGATTAACAAGTTTAAAAGATGAAATTAAGTGCTAAAGTGCTTACAAAGAAGAAATTAAAATGTTTCCCAATGATTAACGGATAAACCTTTGCTAAAACCCTTGAATTCTCCTCTCCAAAAGTGCTCTGGTATGCTCTGTGTATCTCCAAATGGCCCTCAACCCGTAATATGAAAGATAGGAAAAACTGCCAAAAGTTGGTTTTTAGGTCGAACACGGCCCGTGTTAAAATAGGCTAAACTGACACGGCCCGTGTTCAGCAGCCAACACGGCCCATGTTGATTTGCACTAAACTGACACGGCCCGTGTTCAGCATGGTCAACAGCTCCCATTTTGGTCAACACGACCCGTGTTGATTTTGCAGTGTAAATCCAACATGGCCCGTGTACCCCTCTGACTCCGATTCCAAACTTGATTTTTCCAACTTTTTCGTTCTTCGCCCGATCATCCCGAAATCTTCACCAATGCTTCCCGGCACCTCCCAAAGCGCATTCCAAGCTCCGGTTTACCTGAAAAATACATGAAAGTGTGCAAATAAGGTTGTTCTAGAGACTAACATGAATATGATGAAATTCAAGAAAAATGAAGAACAATTATGCTAAATAGATGCATGAAATGAGACTAAAAGGTGTGCAAAAAGGTGCACAAATTGCACCTAACAATTATTATTATTATTATTATTATTATTATTATTATTATTATTATTATTATTATTATTTCTATGTTTTTATTAATTATGTTTTTTATTTAATTTAATGTTAAAAAAAAGATAAATATTTTGGAGTGGTGACCATTTCCTATGTGTAGTGGGTTGGATGTGAAGCCGACGTGGCGTAGAGGTGGCACCACTTTTTCGGTGGGTTGGTGATGACCACTCCCCACAGCCTTATCTCTAGTTCCACCAGCTCGAAGACTGCATCAGCTTCCACGGTTTTCATTATGTTTCTTCCCCAAGGGCACACGTCGATTAACATTCTTAAGACTGCTTCCGTTGCTTGTGGTGAGGTTCTTTTCCTTATGATGTTTATTGTTTGTTTAGAGAAACTGAACCTTAATCTCTCTAAAACACTGTGAATGGAATGGAATGAAGATTAGAATGGAATCAAAAAAATGAACAGTAACAGCAGCTGCACAGGGAGATTGATTCCGTACAGGAACATGTTGATTCTGGAACAGGGACAAAAAAGAGAACATGACCAATCACCAATTTGTTAACTTCTAAGAACATGACTGTAATTAAAACTTGCATTAGTAACAATGTGGATGTGAACAAGAGCTGCTCCCCCTGAAAAATAACTTCAAATTTTTGAGTCAAACAAAAAGAAACCAGAACATTTTTATGTTGCAATTTTTTTTCGATGTTGACGATTTTGCCCTTGATGATCATTTGGGTTTTTAGCACACCAAACAACCACCATTAACAGAAAAATGATTATAATTACATGTTTTCATGAGTACATTTTTCTGTTTTTATGATGTTGACGATTTTGCCCTTGGTGAGGAATTAAGTTTTTAACACACCAAACGACCACCATTAACCGAAAATTAAGTATACTTACATGTTTTTGTCCAAACCAAACAAAACTAAATAGAAAGAAACTTAAATTGACCAAATAAAAGAAACAGAATCGAATGAAACAAACACATTACAAGTTGCATTTTTGTCTCAAAACAAGACAATTTTGCCCAATACATGACAGTTAAGCTTTTTGAACTGATGTCTTCATGTTGAGCAAATACACCAATTTCACGACATATTGCTTCAATTGTGTTCTTGTTATCTCATGTTATCACAATCACTTGAATCCCAGCTACTCTGCAGTCTTCAATGGCTTGTCCAACTTCCTTACGTGGAGGATCCTTCACAGATAAATCAATACCACAATTTACTTTAAGACATTGTACTTTGTAAATCTAAGTATAGAAATGAAGACTAAGCATATAGCTGTTTACCCTTAGTCCAGCTAAGCCAACAAAGATCAAGTTACTTTCGGTTGAAGAGTAATTTGCTGGATCAAGTAAAAGGTTATGAGCAGGATGATCTTCATCACCATTATATATAGTGAAGTGTGGAGGATCTTCTTTGTATGCAAAACCCAAAACACGTAATGCAGAAGAGGAAAACTCGTTAAGGCTATCTAAGATAGCTTTCTTTGACTTGTTGTCAAGTTCCACAACAGAACCATCAAGTAATTGGATGTAGGACTCCTTTCCAACGGGAACTCATGCCTTCGACAAACACATTAAACAACAAAGTTTGATCGATTACCTTGTTTTTGTGAAGCTTCCCTGATCGACAAAGATTTATGCTCGAGCCTGCTTCCTTTCTTCTTTTCGGTATGTCCGATGGCAGCCTACATATGACGAAGGGTTTTCCCTTACAGTGATAAGAAACGTGTATAGGGTTTACCAAATAAATCAGAGAGGTTAGACGGTTTTGATATTAATAATGGTTAAAATGGACATAAAATAAATATAATGGTTTATTTAGGCATTGAGGTAAAATACATAGGGTTTTAGAGTGATTTTTCCAAAATAAAAAAGCCCACTTTGCAAAATTTGAATCTAATTTTGGTTTTCCTGATTTGTGAAATTTGAATTTAATTTTGAGTGTTTTTGCTTGATTTAGTTTGATCCAAACAATTTTTTTTAGTGATCCAAAGGAAAAAACTAGACCGTTCAATATAGATATCCCTTTAATTAATTATAAACTTTTTTATAATAATTATATTTTTCAAGTAAAAAAAGACAAGTAATATATTTTGGAGTAAATTACACGAATGGTCCCTATGGTTTGGGGTAGTTTGCACGTTTGGTCCCTAACTTATTTTTTTAACTCAGAAGGTCTTTACTGTTTGTTTTTGTTACCCGCTTGGTCCCTGTCTAATCTAAAAAGACTATTTTGCCATTGATTTTTTAATTTACTTAAATAAACACACTCCAACCTCACTTTCACTTCCACCTCATCTTATCTTATCTTATCTTATCTACCCTACCTTATTTAAATAAATTAAAAAATAAAGGGCAAAATAGTCTTTTTAGATAAAACAGGGACCAAGTGTGCAACAAAAACAATTTGTAGGGACCTTTCAAGTTCAAAAAATAAGTTAGAGATCAAACGTGCAAATTACCCTAAACCATTGGACCATTCTTGTAATTTACTCTATACTTTGAAAATGATATTTTTTTTTTTTACAGTTAGAATTCAACTGTGATTTAAGTTTCATCAATATCGAATTCAAACTGGTTTGATGGCATGGATTATAACTTAAAAAAAAATCAAACCAAGAAAAGCGAAAACTCAACCAATGAACACCATCCTTGTGGCCAATTACCCAATTCGTCTTTTTTCATCCACTGGTTTCAAACTTGTCTTATTAATTCGCGCTTTGCAATGTGTTGCCGTTAATTTCTCCCCCTTCTTCTCCAATCACAGTTTCTTATTTCTCCATGGAATTCAACACAGATTTTGAAACATTCTGAAGGAATCATGAACAAAATGAAATACATTCGTCTTTCATCCACCAGTAGCATCCCGAAAACCACAACAAGCAATTTAATCACAGCCAATAACCAAAAAGCGTCATGGTGGACCCAGATCTTCGATCCAGGTGGCCAGTTCATTTCCAGATGGAACCACATGTTTCTAATCACCTGCCTCATGGCCCTTTTCGTTGATCCACTTTACTTTCTTGTACCAGAGATCTCAAAGGAGAAATACTGTATGCGATCTGATTATGGTTTTGCAGCAATCATCACTGTTTGGCGTTCTCTGATTGACGTAATCTCCTTTATCCATATTTTTATCAAGTTCCGAACAGCTTATATTGCCCCAAATTCAAGGGTTTTTGGGAGAGGTGATCTTGTTATGGATCCACGCAAAATTGCTTTACGCTACTTAAGAACTGGTTTTTCTGTTGATTTTGCTGCTGCTCTCCCATTGCCTCAGGTTCATTCATAATTTCATATATATCATATTCTCCATTTTCTTTAATTTTTATATTGTAACAATTCGTTAATCACCATGATTTTTGATTTTTGCAGCTTTTCATTTGGTTTGTGATTCCAGCTGTGAGAAGTCCTACAGCAGCTCACGCCAACCATTCGATTTCTCTGGTTATCATCCTTCAATATATCCCCCGATTATTTGTCATATTTCCTTTAAATCAACGCATTACAAAAACTACGGGTGTAATTGCCAAAACCGCATGGGCGGGGGCCGCTTACTACATCATGCTGTATATGCTCGCTAGCCACGTAAGCAACCAAACTCCAATAAAAAAAAAGATGAGAATCCATATGTGTTGGTATACATATATAAATATATCATGTATTATTTAATTTGATTTTTATGATATCTATCAGTGCAGGTTATTGGAGCTACATGGTATTTATTGGCTATTGAGAGGCAATATTCATGTTGGAAAGAAGAATGTGCGAAAGAGAAGAACTTGAGTAATCCCTGTAACCGTGTTTATTTTGATTGTGACCATGTGGATGAGCCTGGACGTGATGCTTGGTTAAAACAAACTCAGGTTTTGGCTAATTGTATTTCCGAAAATAGCCCTATTAATTTTACATTTGGCATGTATGGCCCTGCTTTCGCTGAAGGAGTCACATCCGCACCATTCTTCGAAAAATACTTCTTCTGCTTTTGGTTCGGCTTAAAAAGTCTAAGGTATACCTCATCTCATCTCATCTCATATATCTAATTATGTTAACCAATGTCTATTCCCATGTACATTTTGCTATTTGCAATGTCAGCCACCCAATATGGATTTTGCTCATTTTGGGTCCACCTATCTGTTGTGTATGTGGGCCAATAATAATAATAATAATATTTTTATTTTGCATCGGCTTTAATTTGTGTGCTAAAATCATTTTAAAGTTTAAACCAATTGATGGTGTGCAGTTCATATGGGCAAAATTTGGAGACGAGTACAAGCACGGGGGAAACGCTTTTTGGGTGTGGTGTATGTCTTGGAGGCTTAGTTATATTCTGTTTGCTTATTGGCAATATGCAGGTATAAAATTTTGCTTCTCTTTATACTTTCAGCTGATTTTAGGGTTTGATATGATTTTGAATATTTGTGTCGTGAAGACGTACCTACAATCGACAACTGCAAGACTAGAGGAATGGAGGGTCAAAAGAAGGGACACTGAAGAATGGATGAGACACAGACAGTTGCCACCAGATTTACAGGATAAAATCCGTAGATTCGTTCAATACAAATGGCTTGCAACCAGAGGAGTAGATGAAGAAGACATCCTACGTGCTTTACCCTTGGATTTACGACGTCAAATTCAGAGGCATCTTTGTTTGGCTCTTGTTCGTCGTGTAAGTTTTTGTTCAGTTAAACAAAAGTAGAAAACAGAAGGGAAGAGATTGTAATGAATGAAAATGGAACAAAAACTGCAGGTACCTTTCTTCTCGCAAATGGATGATGATCAGCTTCTACACGTGATATGTGAACACCTAGTTCAATCGTTAAGCACGAAAGGCCAGTATTTGGTTCGAGAAGGGGATCCGGTAAACGAGATGACATTCGTGATAAGAGGTCAGCTCGAGAGCTCGACTACCAATGGAGGGCGATCGGGATTCTACAACTCCATCACTCTGAAAGCGGGTGATTTTTGTGGCGAAGAATTACTGACCTGGGTTTTAACCCCCGATTCAAACGTTAACCTCCCGTCGTCGACTCGAACAGTAAAAGCCCTAAATGAAGTGGAAGCGTTTGCACTTCGAGCAGAAGATTTGAGATTTGTAGCGAAACAGTTTAAACGACTTCATAGCAAGAAGCTGCAACACGCTTTTAGGTATTACTCGCATCAATGGCGGACATGGGGAGCGTGTTATATACAGGCGGCGTGGAGACGGCATAAGAGGAAGAAACTAGCGGATGAATTGGCGAGGCAAGAAGGGTTGTTTCAGTACTATTATGGTGATGATGGTAATGATCAGAATGTGCAGCATTTGGGAGCGACGATATTGGCGTCAAGATTTGCGGCGAATACGAAAAGAGGGATTAGTCACACAGAAACGGTTGTGGGTTCTGGTTCCTCGAGCTTAGAGATGCCGAAGTTATTCAAGCCGGATGAGCCTGATTTCTCTTGAGTTGATGAAGTCGGGATTTGCAGTTTGTCACTTTGACCTTTTTGGGGATCCGATCACCCATTATTTGACGAGTAACTTTTGTTGGCAACTAGATAGATACCAGATGTAACACCATTTTGGTGCCATATTATAACTGTGTTATAATATCAAATCATCAATGGTGTTATAACATCAAGTGGGGAAATGGGCAACATGTTGTATCTTGTTATGACACCAATTTTTTTTCCATTTTATAATTTATTTTTTATTTATTTCGATTTTTTTTTTAAATTTAGACAAATATTTTTTAAATATAAATAATAAATAAATATGTTTAAAAATTATAAATAACAATTAAAATTTTTTAAAGATTAAAATTAAAATAAAGACTAAATTACACATAATATCCAAAAACAAAAAAAGAAATAACATCCAAATTAAAAAAAAAAAATACAACGCTATTCATTATCGTTATTGTTACCATAGAATATATAATCCGCCAAGTCCTCTCGAAGTTGTCTGTGTTTATTTGCGTCCTGAATGTCAACAACGCGATGCAAATAATCTGCTGTTCCTGGTTGAAACTGAACGTGTCTGGGCTCCGTTGGGATATAGTGTGCAATATTTCGTCATTTATCTTCTACTACCATGTTATGCATTATGATACATGCATACATGATATATCGTAGAGTTTCTAAACCCAATGGTCGTGCTGCATGTTCAACTATATGCCACTTCGCCTTCAGCACTCCAAAAGCACGTTCCACATCCTTACGTGCTCCTTCTTGTCTTCTCTTAAAAAATTTGTCTCGTTCTTCAACCGGGTGGCGGAATGCCTTCACGAATGTGGAATACTGAGGATATATTCCATCTGTAAGGTAATACCCATATTTGTATTCGTTTCCATTCACCGTGAAAGGAGCATCCGGGGCTTTTCCATTCAAAAGATCGTCGAATATTGGCGACTGATCAAGGACGTTGACGTCGTTGTTGGAACCCACAACCCCAAAAAATGCATGCCAAATCCATAAATCTTGAGAAGCGACAGCCTCTAAGACCAACGAAGGTGATCCGTGAAGACCACTTGCGTATTGCTCTTTCCATGCTACCGGACAATTTTTCCATTTCCAGTGTATGCAATCAATGCTTCCGATCATTCCGGGAAACCCATGGCGTTCTTCATGCGCCGCATACAATTCTTGCAAATCATGCAACGAAGGTTTCCGCAAATACACGTCTCCAAAAGTTTCAACAACACCCCTTGACAATGTATACAAACTCTCTCTTGCGGTTCTTTCGGACATTCTCATATAGTCGTCCATGGTGTCGGGTGACTCCCCCATAGCCATCAAACGAATGGCCGCAGCACATTTCTGCAACGTTGTAAACCCTCGTCTACCTCTAGCATCATATCTTAATTGAAAAAATTCGTACCTAAACATAAATTAACTACAGTTTAAAAATATATTGCATATGTTGTAAAATTAAAGAAACATGTAGTACATTTTTATTTATTTTGTATAAAAATATAGTAAACAAACGATACCGGCTTTCCAAGGCGTTGGCGATTCGTAAGAACACATCCCTACTCAAACGAAATCTTCTTTTGAAGTCTTTCGCCCCGTATACACAATTATCCGCAAAGTAATCGCGATATAGATGTTTGTGTCCTTCCTCGCGATTTCTGTTTAACATTGCACGTCTTGTTAGTAGCGGGGCTGGGTCTGGTTGTAGCAGGTCGGTAGTGTAATAATGATACATCATCCTAAAGAAAATATCGTCATCTGAATCATCGGACGAGTCGAAAAGAATCCATATTTTTTTTGAAGATAATTGAAAGTATGTAGAGAGGAGAAGTGAAAGTGTGTGAAATTTTTTATAAAATGGTAGGTATTTATAGGGTAAATTGTTTTTTTTTAATAATTAATTTTTTTTCAAACCGTTGCAATTAAAAGGTTTCAAACGGTAACAATTCATTCGTTTCATCCCGTCGTGACGCCAACGAGATCCACCCTCGACGAGTTACAACGAGCAGGGGGGGCGGTGTTCCCCCCGTTAAGCCGCCGTCGCCAAGCGCCACGTAAGTGGCGTTACATCTCGTTTGGCCCATACCGATTGCTCTTAGGCTAAGGGGAGTGGTAACACTCTTAACACCTTGCCATGTCAGCTTTTTGAGTGACACCTCATTTTTTCTATTTAGCACCTAATCTTAACATTTGGTAGGGAGTGGTAACACTGTTAGCACTCCATTTTTTCTTCT